GTTTCATCTGAGACGTTGAATGCATTTTGTTTCTACACTGGCTGAGGAAACTAATACTTATATCGTAGATTTTACAAACACGTAAGAGATTATTAGATAACCTATTCAAGATGTTAACTTTCTATACTGGATGAAATAAAATGTTGTGGCCAAGTAAATGGTTAAGAGATAACAAAACAAGAGGTTGCAGATAAATAGCGTATTGAACAGTAAATACAACAGAAGTGTGTTACACGACTTGAGAGTGTGTATCAATTGACAAGCGTTCAATCTATATCACTGTTATATTTATCATAGTTATATTTATTTAGCAGGATGCAAAAAGCCATTCCTAAACAGGGAATAATGTATACAACTCTAGTCTTTTTCAATAGTTCCTTGGTCAATAAATGCTGAATGGTTTCTCTTAATGAAACGGAAAATATTACATGATATTATTCATTTTCGGGAACTCTGACTTTCTATATTTATTCCGCAACATCCAGTTCGATTTTACATTCGACTGTCTTTAAGTAAAAACGAATTGAAGCTGTATCCTTACAATATAATGTGACATGACCCACGTCTTATCGATCGAGCCACCAAGACATGTACCAGCAGGCAAAATTGAAATTAAATCCTATATGTTAAGTTTTCCTGACTTTCTCAACACCGTATTATATATTTACACTAGACAAGAGTGTTGTTTCCTAAGAATTATTAATTTTTGACTAGCTTTATTGGCTTGTGTTTGGGATTTTTATCACAACACGCAGGTAGTTTTACATTCAACGACAATTCTACGATTTAAACCTACCTGGGGATGTTTCACTTATGAGATTTGATACTTGGCTCTATCATTGAGAAATGATTGATATTCTATGCGTGAGAAGATAAGATATTATTTCAGCTAATATACTGATTCATTTAGCTTATCTCCTAGGGTCAAGTTAAACTGGCAGCTTCTTTATTGCCATATATTCTGGCCATTTTGTTTCTTCTATCGTCTTTTTAGGAATTCCACGGTCATTGCTCTTCGAAACTTCTTGGTATTTGGAGAGTTTTCTTTCTTTACAGTAAGGGGAAGATAACCATTGAACAGGTTAAGATTGTAGTGATCGGGGAAATATTTGCTAGGGAGTCTGTTCCATAGAGCAGCGGTTCGTGGTAAGAAACTGTTTGAGTGGAACTTACTTCTCGCCGACGGAATACAGGAGAAATATCGGTAGTTTGCTATTATGTAAGAGACATAGCGGGTCCTAGCCGTGATGGTCAGATCTAGTAGAACCAGGAGATGCAGTTCGTCCGAGCACTTTTCATGGTAGTAGCAATCTGTTCTGCTAACCGTTTACACAAGCAGGTAGGTCATTTACGGCTTTCTTCTGACACTTCAATACGCCCTGTGGGCGTCAAATTCTCCAAGCCCTCATTATCATTATGTGTTTTAGAAAGGTCAATTATCGCTTTCTCATTCTAAGTAATGTCTTTTTTGTTTCTACTTGCCTTTTCGTCTAAAGTTGTATTTTCTTTTTTTTTCAGATGAAAAATTTGAAATCCTGACTTACCTGAGGTAATAAAATAGGGATATCCCATATTCTCTCTCGCTTAGTTTACCAGCACTATATAAACGTTTTTCTGCAAATATAAACACGAATGGAAGTTTAACTATAGACTAAAGTACCAATAAGATCAATGTTTACTCATAGCCTCAAATACAAACTCTTTTTTCGTTTAATTGTAATCATGGCTTGTTTAACGAAAATAATACCTCATAAATATAGCCTAGGCTGTACCATCTACTAATAGTTTTACTAATTTTACTAATTACTAATTTTTTCTTGATTTGCCTTGCTGAAATTGGGATGCATTTCAAACACCCGTGAGTTTTATATGCCGTCAAATACGGTAATTTCTTTGAAGCAGGTATTTTCTTACTTGAAACATTATTTTTAGTGGATACCGTTTTTAAATAGACGCCCAGTTTTTTTTATATTCCAAACAAGCTGAATGAATCAAATAAAGTTTCTACATAGAATAGTTGCTATATTACTTTGTCTACGGTTTATTCTGTATTTCTGCCATACTCGTGTTCGTAGGCGCACAACACCTCACCTCAGAAATGTAAATAAAAATCTAATAAATATATTTTATGGAGTTTAGAACAATTACAAATCCGGGACAATGGTACAATCCATACAAATCCAAAAGTAAACAATGGTAGCCTTGAAGACGGCAAGGATACTAGTTGGACTAATTATGTTTTCGAGGGATTTGATATCACATAGCTCCAATGATTATCACATACGAATGTACTCTACAGAGTTTTAATCATTGTCGCACTCAGCGGGACCAAGAATACGCAAATTGTATCCAGAAACGTGAGATCCCCAGAAAAGTTCACCACTCAGGTTGAAGAATGTGGATTCCTCATATGGACGATCAATGATTGCCTGTCGCCTCAGGTATAAACAAGAAGACTGTTTTACCAATAGTCTCAATTAAAAACATACTTAATGCTTTATCTATTGACCCAAATATAAACACGAATGGAGGTTTACCTATAGACTAAAGTACCAATAAGATCAATGTTTACCCATAGTTTCAAGTACAAACTCGTTCAATGATTTACTTATAGGCTCAAGTATCAACATGTGTGATTACCTATAGATTCAAGCAGAAACAGAAACCATGTTTATCTATTGTTTCAAGTATAAATAAAACTATATTTATAGAATCAAGTATATATATATATACGATCAATATTTACCCATAGATACAAAAGTAACCCTGGCCAATATTTTACCTACGAACACGGCTATAAACATTAGCAATGCTTACCTATATATTCAAGTATAAACAGTTTATTTATTTACTCAAGGTTACTTGTATAATTTCGAATAAATGATATAAAAGTTATAGACTAATGTTTATCTACAGACCCTCCTGTAAACACGGCCAACATTTCACTTATAGCTTTAAAAACTCGAAGAATATTTAAACATGACTCAAAGCAATTTCTGTACATTGACCGAAGTTAAGCAAGGTTGAGCCTGGTTTGTACCGACATGAGTAACTGTTTGGAAATACTAGGTGAGGTAAGCTTTTATGTGCGGGTGGTGTAATAGATAATATTTCGAAATTGTTAACCGGAGAGCCGAGTTCCAATTCCCCTTTCTGTTCGTTATAATCACTTAAGTGCAAATACTCCTGGGAAAGGAATGAAACCAACTCTTCTCCCTCAGTTATGGGCTAAATAGTAAGATATGTATCAATAGATCATTTTTAGCTCCAAAAACAAAATTCTTAAATCTAAAAATAGTTCGTGTATTTAAATAACCCCTAGAGGGTTGATAACCCGTAGAAAACGAATACATCAAAGAAAACAATTCATACAGAATTAGTTACCGTATTTATCAGCATATAAGACGTACTTTTTTATGAAAAATATCTTTTAAAATTCCCCTGTGTCGTATATGCCATATGTAGGTTTAAAATTCGCGATGGCCGAAATTAGCTACCTGACAACTCCTATGGGCTTAGACTTTAGAGTAAGTTCATATACCTGTTGTCATTATTTAAATGGCTATTATGCAGATTAAGTGTTACCATTGATAATATTCATTATAATGATTTCATCACGTTTAATATTAATACTTTGTTTTACTAGAATTTTAAGCAATAAATTCAAATTATATATTTGTAAAAAATATTTGTTTCATTAATATTTTTCATGCGATAACTTCCGGTTGCATTGCTATAAATACAATCAAAACTTTTATATCCTAATTATTTCACTAAAACGTTTACAAGACGCAGGTTGTACAGATCATATAAAGGGAAATTTTTGACTGAATTTTCATGGTAACTGGACTGTTTTGCGTAATTGTAATAATTGCTTGGTTTTTATTTTGTTTTCTTACCTTTGGATATAATAAAGTTTTTATAGGCTCGTGTTCTTTTTTCCCTATTATTTTTCGTTTAATTGTAATCGTGGCTTGTTTAACGAAAAGAATGCCTCATAAACATAGCCTAACATCTACAAATATTTTTACTAATTTTACTAATTACTAATTTTTTTTCTTGATTTGCCCTGCAGAAATTGGAATGCGTCTTATACACCCGTGAATCTTATATGCCGTCAAATACGGTAATTTATTTTGAAGCAGGCATTTTATTACTTGAAACGTTATTTTTAATGGATACGGTTTTTAAATAATCGCCCAGTTTTTTTATTATTATTATTTATTCCAAACAGGTCGTATTACATCTATCAACCTGCACACCCAAAGAGATCATGTGCTACCCGCGAGGGTTAAAAAAATAAATGCATTAATTCTTGAGAAATTGCTTTGTTTATGTTCCGAACATGGAATTGAGCAATTTGAACGAGGGAGTGTGCATTCCTTAAAAGGGAAAATCGATACTTGCTGTATTTTGACGTTCGTCGTGGCCGAGTGGGCAAAAGCACACCGGATCGAACTGTGGTTGCTCCGATAAACGTAGACACAGTTTCAGACCCTGCACATGTCGTTTATTAAGATTTCACAAGTGCGCAGTCCAGTAGACATGATAAACACTTTTTAAAATAAAAACGAGGCGTCTATTTAAAACACGGGTATCCACTATTGACTTAAGTATAACGACAACGAAACTTTTATTATGGACTTAAGTTTTAACACAATATTTACGTATAGATAGATACAGGTATAATAAAAAAAAAACTGATTTTGGACATTAAATAATCCAACAAGTTTTGATAAAAATATCCAGCTCCACTAAACTTTAATCATGACGATGACGATGATAAGGGTGATAAGTATGATACTATTAACGATGGTGATGATACTGCTTAGCAGAGTCTACTATAAAGAATACAATGAATAAAAATCTTAGAAACAAGAACGAGGTAAAAAATCTATCAAAGGAAAACAAATTACAAACTTGACAGCTATTGGCCATTGGGAGGCTCTCAGATTTCTATGAAAACTGCATTAAATTGATTTATGCGCGTCAAGATCAGG